TTTTATATAAATATATGAACAAAATATATTCATTTATTTTTTAAACATCAAAGGTCGTAGCAAACGTAGAAGAACAAGCGCATCGAGCAATAATACATCTACAGGTCGTAACATCAATTCAAGCATTGTGATTGATCTTACTGTTGATGATCCACCCGAACATACAATTACAAAGAGGAAGCGTGGTCGACCAAAGAAATCCAATACAACAACAATACCAAGGATGTCTGGTACAATGCACTCATAGTCGCTTATTGGTTATATTTTTTACAATTAAAAAATTACATATATTTTTAGCTATTTACTTAATTTGATTTGATTTTCACAGAATATTGGGATATGGGTGATGCGAGCTTTCGTTGCAAATATTGTGGATCGACATTTTGGTATGTTGAAAGAAAATCGTCTACAAAAGCTGCGGATCGTCCAGAATACAGTGGTTGTTGCGTGAATGGCATCGTAAAACTTCCTGTCCTAAAGCAGGCACCTGATTTTTTGAACGAGATGTTGCATGGGGATAGTAGAAAAAGCAAGCATTTCCAAGATAACATACGGTCATACAACAGCATGTTTGGATTCACTTCGTTGGGTGGCAAAATTGTCTCGGATTTGAACAGAGGAACTGCACCACCAGTTTTTAGTTTACATGGACAAAATTATCACCTCATGGGTAGTTTACTTCCTTCAGATGGTTCAACTCCGAAGTTTGCACAGTTGTATATATATGATACGGAAAATGAAGTATCTAATAGAATCAATGTTGTTAGGTGAGATTCGTTAATTCATTACCATATTTATCCTTTATTTCAAATAAAACGAGTATCGTCTATTATTATATGTCTATTTCATATTCTAATGCATTGTGTTTGATGTTAACAGTAAACAAGATGGGGTGACTAATCTTCAAGCTGACATTGTTGAGGGGTTAAAAGCCATGCTTGATGAGCACAATGAGCTTGTGAAGTCCTTTCGAATGGCCAGGGATAGACTTCAACAATCTGGTTCTGTAGATGTCAGAGTTCGTCTAATTGGAAGAAGATATAATGATGCTAGACGATATAACCTTCCTACAAGTTCAGAAGTAGCTGCATTGGTAGTAGGTGATTTCGATCAAGCTTTGGGTGATAGGGACATACTGGTAGAAACAAAAAGTGGTCTTCTACAAAGGATAAACGAGCTTAATGCGTCTTATTTGGCATTACAATATCCCCTTTTACTTCCATATGGAGAGGATGGATATAGGGAAGACATTCCTTTTACGGATATAAAACCCGTTGTTGAGGATGGTCGAAAGACTGTTAGTGTTCGGGAGTATTTTGCATATAGGATTCATGATAGGGGTCATGAGCCATCAACAATACTATCAGCTCGACGATTGTTTCAGCAGTTTGTTGTTGATGCTTACACCATGGTAGAATCTTCGAGGTTGAGATACATACGTTTCAACCAAAACCGACTTCGTTGTGATCTTTATAATGGACTTGCATATGCAGTTCTTCGTGGTGACACCGATCCCAGTTCTCGAGGCAAGCGTATAATACTTCCTTCCACATTCACTGGAGGTGCTAGAAATATGATTCAGAACTACCAAGATGCAATGGCGATTTGCAGGTGGGCTGGGTATCCAGATCTTTTTATAACATTCACATGCAACCCAAAGTGGCCGGAGATTGTTAGACATTTAGAGCCTAAAAATTTGCGCCCTGAGGATCGACCGGATATTGTGTGCAGAGTCTTCAGAGCTAAGCTTAAGGAGATGATAAGGGATTTTCGTCAAAACCAAATTTTTGGCAAGGTTATAGCAGGTGAACAATATGATACCTTTTATTCACTATTCATATATATTCTTGCTTTCTAATTTGATGTTTGTTGTTCATTCACTTTATTAATACTTTTTATTATATATTATGCAGTTATTTATACAATTGAATTTCAAAAACGTGGACTCCCGCATGCCCATATACTGTTGTTCCTATCTAGAGAAAGTAAGTTTCCAAATCCTTCTGATATAGACAGGGTAATATCTGCTGAGATACCTGATGAGGAATCCGATCCTTTCTATTATGAGGCTGTGAAGGAGCATATGATTCATGGACCATGTGGCTTGGCTAAGAAAGACTCGCCGTGTATGGTGGATGATGTCTGCACTAAAAAATTTCCAAAGAAGTTTGTTGAATCAACGACCGTTGACGAAGATGGGTATCCACGTTACCGTCGTCGAGATGATGGCAGACATATTGAGAAAAGTGGTGTTATTGTCCACAATGGATATGTCGTTCCTCACAATCGCCGTCTGTTGATGAAATATGGAGCGCACATAAATGTCGAGTGGTGCAATCAATCGCGTTCGATAAAATACCTGTTCAAGTATGTGAACAAAGGGAATGATCGTGTTACTGCCTCTTTCTATAAGACGTCTGGAGATGAAGGTTCTGATAAACCTGTGGATGAAATATCCATGTATTATGATTGTCGTTATGTGTCATCTTGTGAGGCAGCATGGAGGTTATTGGGGTTTGAATTGCAGTACAAGAAACCTCCTGTTCAGCGGTTGAGCTTCCATCTAAAAGACCAGCAATCGATTGTTTTTGATGATGACGATTGTATCGACGATGTTCTCAAGAAACCCACTGTGCACGAGAGCCAATTTCTTGCATGGATGGAGGCAAATAAGATATATCCAGAGGCAAGAGAACTAACCTACGTTGAAGCACCGTCAAAGTTCGTTTGGAATGCCAAGACCCGACAATGGACTCCTCGAATAAAAGATGGTAGTATAGGTCGTCTACACTATGTTCCTCCTCATTGTGGCGACAACTACTATTTGAGGTGTCTCCTCAATGTTGTTCGTGGTGCTACTTGCTATGAGGACTACATGAAGGTTGGTGATGTGCAGTATTTGACATATCGTGACGCATGTTATGCCCGAGGTTTATTGGGGGATGATCGAGAGTACGTGGATGGAATAACAGAAGCAAGTCAATGGGCGTCGGCTGACTCTCTTAGACGAATGTTTGTATCTCTGATGGTGTCCGGTTCGTTGGGTAGACCTGAGGAAGTGTGGGATAAATGTTGGAAGTTTTTATCTGATGACATTCTTTACCGACAACGACGTCTATTCAAACACGATGGTAATTATTAAAATTTATATGAATTGTATATTAATTTTTTTTTCTTTCAGTCTTTGATGATGTCGTGGTAATGTTCATGTTCAAAATGCTGACATTTGATTTGTTTATTTTGTTTAGGTCTGCGTTTGAGTGAGGGAGAAATAAAAAATTTGGCTCTGTCAGAAATTGAGACACTACTGAGACGACGCGGGTCGAGTCTTCGAGATTATTCTACCATGCCATTTCCAAATATTGATGCTGCACGTTCTAGCTCCAATCGGCTGGTGTTGGATGAGTTAAATTACGATCAGGCAGCATTGGCTGTCGAGCATGGTGAACTTCTTAGTAAGATGACCGATGAACAAGAAGTGATATATAAAAAAATTATGACAGCTGTTGAATCAAAAAGGGGAGGTGTGTTCTTCGTTTACGGTTATGGAGGAACTGGGAAGACGTACCTGTGGAGGACTTTATCTGCTGCTTTGAGATCAAAAGGTAAGATAGTATTGTGTGTCGCATCGAGTGGAATAGCTTCTCTTTTATTACCTGGAGGACGAACTGCTCATTCTCGATTTGGTATACCATTGAATTTGCATGAACATTCGTCATGTAATATCAACCAGGCGAGCCCTCTTGCGGAATTAATAATACGTTGTTCTCTTATAATATGGGATGAAGCTCCAATGATGCATAAGCATTGCTTTCAAGCCGTGGAAGAATCGATTCAAGCTGTAATGGGAGCAATTGATCCATCGAACAAGACAAAACCGTTTGGAGGCAAAACAGTTGTCTTTGGTGGTGATTTTCGACAGATCCTTCCTGTTATTCCAAAGGGAAGTCGCCAGGATATCGTGAATGCTGCAATTAATGCTTCCGACATATGGAAGGATTGTACTGTGTTGAGGCTTACAAAAAATATGCGCCTTCAGAGTATTGGTGATTCGGATGAGCGAGAGGAGTTGACTGTGTTTGCCAATTGGATAGCGAGCATCGGAGATGGAACAATTGGGGGATCAAATGATGGTTGTGCAATGATAGACATACCTGATGATATATTGTTGGAGCCAACAGATGATCCGATCGCTGAAATTGTTGAAAGCACATACCCAATGTTCAAGAATTCAACCGATGACCCCAGTTATTTAAAGGATAGGGCTATACTAGCCCCAACGTTGGATATGGTTGAGTCTATCAATGAATACATGACGTCTTTGAACCTCACTGAAGGTCAAACGTACTTGAGCTCTGATAGTACGTGCAAATCTGATTCCAATAATGATTTGTTGTCTGATCTCCACACCCCTGAGTTTTTGAATAGTATCAAATGTTCGGGAGTGCCGAACCATGAATTGCATCTTAAGATAGGAACCCCAGTAATGTTGTTGCGGAACATTGATCCTTCTATGGGGTTGTGCAATGGGACGAGATTGGTGGTCACGAAGCTCTCTGCTCATGTGCTTGAATGTAAGGTGTTGACTGGATCCAATGCAGGGGAGAAGGTGTTGATACCACGGATGACTCTAACTCCTTCTGATGTTAGAATACCTTTCAAATTTCAGCGGAGGCAGTTTCCACTAATGGTTTCTTATGCCATGACGATTAACAAGAGTCAGGGTCAATCTTTATCACATGTTGGCGTATTCTTGAAGAAGCCGGTTTTCAGTCACGGCCAATTATACGTAGCTGTTTCCCGTGTCACTAATCGAAAGGGATTGAAAATTTTAGTTTGTGGTGAGGATGGTTTGCCTACAAAGCAAACAAAGAATGTAGTGTACAAAGAGGTTTTTAATAATATATAATTTTTTTTCTCTATTTTGTTTTGTACTTTTTATTCACACAATAATACAAAAATATTGAGAAAATTACCTGAAAACTGTTCACCCCGTGCATCGCACGGGTTCTGTACTAGTGTATATATATATATATATATATATATATATTCTAGAGCAGTCAATATCTCCATACTAAATTTAATTAAACACAGCAAAATTTATCACGGCATACCCAAAAGGCCAATACACGGTTTGAATCTCAACCGTTGGATTAGACTATTAGAGCATCCACAATGCTTTGGGTCTCTTTTTGCATATGTGGCAAATAAATAGACTTAAGTCCATAATAACATGGACAAACCTAAACTAAAAAAACCAAAATCTATCCAATGCAAAACAAAAAAGTACTAGGTCTAGAATACATGACAACCAATAAAAATGCTCTAGTATATTTTATTTATTAAAAGAAAAATTAAATGAGGAATAAATGATGAGTGCTTGGGTTTGTACTTGGGTCTAAAATAGACCCAAGTGTGGACTAGGTCTCATTTTGTTATTGCCACATAAGCTAGACTAGGTCCACTTTTAATTGCATTGGAGAATACTTTTTTATAGACTAGGTCTATTTCTTACATGGCATGTAACTTTTTTCTAAGAAACCCAAAGCATTGTGGGTGCTCTTAGGAGCACATCAGCATCAATCAGGACCACCAATAGAAAGTGGACAATTGCTTTATTAGTGCTTTATATTGTTTTCCATCTCCTTGATGTTCCAAACAACAAAATATAATTAATGTGTCAAAACAAAGTTGGGAGCAAAAGAAGAAGGAGACAAATAGTTTTTGTGGCTAACAACATTGGAGTGACTAGTGAGAATATAATGGGCATTATATTATTTGAATTGATTCATTTGGATATAAACTATTGTAACTTAATTGTGGTATTCTATTCATGAATTCGGGTAACTTTAACTAAGTGGTTATGTTGTTCTTGGTAGACTTATTCATATTTATCCACATCCCTCTCGATATATTAATTCAAAACGTGTTGAATCTAGTGGCAAATACTCACGCTTCAGATTTGACATGACAAAAATCTATGCTTCGTGATGTTGTTTTTATATTATTTTTGCTCTGAAGTTAAGTTTGGTATTAGACATAACTAGTATAACACCCGTGTATTACATATATTGGGTTATTTAATAAAGAGTAAATAATTTTTTCCAACCTGTACTATGCGTGCTTTTAGGATTTTCAACCTAAATTATTTTTTGTTGTAAAATGCAACCTAAACTACATATATACAATTATTTGCACGCTCGAATACTTTTTGACCGTCCGATCGTGTGCAAAAAAGGACACGTGTATGGTTAAGATGTGGTTGAGCGTGCAAATAGTGACTGTATATGTAGTTCAGGTTGCATATTACAACAAAAAATACTTTAGGTTGAATATCCCAAAAACACGTATAGTACATGTTGGACAAAATTGTTTACCCTTTAATAAAATTGTCAAGTGGTATATATTGGGTTTATGATAGTATATATTAGTATAGAAATGTTCCCCTACCCACGGTGGACACATGTTAATATGCCCACCGCGTAGGTGACATGCACTCATTGATGATGTTAATATGTTTAAAAAAACATCACCAAGGAGTGCATGCCACCTACACGATGAACATATTAACATGTGTCCACTGTGGGTAGGTGAGCATTTCTCTATAACTATATTTATGTTTGTGATCGTGGACAACTTTTTTTTTTTTGTAGAATTTTGTAACTAAAATTTTAACATAATGTTCAAAGTATTTCATTTTCAATTTTTCTAGGTTTGGGAATTATATACTTGGAGTTTCGCAATTTATAAATAAATCATCAAAATCCTAACTATTAATAACAAGGTTGCGACTCGAGACAGCATATATTCTTTTGCACTTTGAGATTTGAGCCTGTCAGATAATGACAAGATCCTTTGGTTATATTTGTGGGCATTCACAAATGACATTAAAATATAGTTAATAATGATAATAACACCAAGATTTGGGATTTAGATCCAAGAATCCCACATAAATGACATTATAATTAAATTAATAATGATAATAACACCAAGATAATTTGGGATATATAGATCCCATAATTTCTAACATAATGGGATATATAGAAGCTTTTCAAATTTCCATTTTGCAGGACGAGACGAACGAATGTATGAACGAACTTTCGAAAATGCCTTGACGGCGTAATGTTCGCCCGCCACATCAGCAGGGGTACCGGGTACGGCTCAAGTCCCGAGCATTAGGACAGAACGGATGACATGACACCGAGTTTGTAAGAAAGCCCGTATTTTTCAACTCCGTTCGACTTTGTTAAGTATTTGGCGAGACATAATGTCGCGATGTTTTTCATGAGGCATAGGCGCATAGCTGTAATTTGTAAAGTCGACAAGAACACGAGCTGCACGATTATGCTCGGGTTTTCCTAGAGGCAGAGGGATACGGGTTCGGGCCAGGTGGCCCAAAAAACGAATAAACGCTAAGCCTGCGCGCATAGCAACATGAAAGCAAATGGGCTGAGAATTTCAGATTCATATGGCAGCAAGTATACATTGGCCTTAACTGAACAAAACTGAGTAAGCATTTGGTGAACTGAAATTATACTAAGGGTGATCTTTTAAATTTGGATGTCAAACTAGCATATCAATTAAATTCTAAACAAATATCATTTTTAAAAGAATAATATCATTTACTTCATTTCTCGAAATGAGTAATATGTGAATATTAGAGAGAGATTGAAAAATAAATGAATATGATTTATTTAAGAGAAGATATGTAATAGAAAAAAAAAAAAAATGACAAGTAACTATCAAAATTTTTTTTATAAAATAAATAATGACTGTTTCAGTAAAAAAAATTATTTAATGTATCATGGAAATAATCATGTCTAATTGACATTTGACATGACACTATTTATATATCAATCCAAAGCATAAAATTATAACAAATAGGATCCCGAAGCATGCGAGTGTGCTGATAGATCGAAAAATGTGTCAGTTTTATATATTTAATAGCTTCATTTTCATAAATTTAATTTCTTAACAAGATTATATATTTTTACTTATTTATTATTAATATTATTCATTAAGCGCACTGAAGTATTTTGTGTACTTGAAACATTGGACTATATTTCTAGGGATTAATTATCGGGGTGCACCAATATTGCTCCAATTAAGGCGCCAACTAGACATGCCCCAAAAGTTAGTAACAGCCCAG